TTGAGTACGATATATTTCTTGCTTTGCTGAAAAAATGTTCTCACCAATCCTATGATTTGTTTCTGAGCAATAAGAGCATGAAGATTTATTTGCAAAAATGGTGAATGTGTTGTTTGTAGTTCTCGGACCAAATACTCGGAGGGTGGTTATACTGAATAAAGTATTTCATTTGGAAACTTTGAAGAAGGCTAACTGGTCAAAATTCAGTTTCAAGATTTATCCCGTATATATACTACTAATATTCGTTTTGCAGTCAGCAAGATCAAAAGAGAAATGTTGATCACACGCATGCCCTCTAACAAAATATACTAAGTGACATATAAATCCGAACACCCAGTTTAAATGGTTTTATTTTAATAAAAGTTGGTGAATGTATTTATCTTACTGTAAATAACAAGTGAAAAAATTTTCAGCCTTATCAGTTGGACATTCCGGTTTTTATACTGCTTTTTTTTAATTCACTAACGCTCTAAAAATGAATATTTCAGCCGCAGTAAAGAATCAACGTTGGCGGATTTTGGTTCTTGACATCCTTTACGATCGGTTACGATGCCTAGAGTACGGAGACCTGTACGATTTCGTCAACTTAGTGAGTTTGATAGGGGCCGTATAGTGGGACTTCGGGAAGTTGGACTTTCTTTTCGGGCAATTGCAGTTAGAGTGCAAAGAAGTGTAGACACTGTGGTTAGGTGTTGTCAGGCATGGCTTCGAGAAGGCCGTACGCAAAGAGCAAGGGGCACTGGACGCCGCCGTAGAACAACAGACCGTGAAGATCGCCGCCTAAGATTATTGGCCTTAAGGGACCGTATCTCCACTACCAGGTCCATTGCAAATGAATGGTTTGCAGAACACGAAAGACCTATTGGCATGCGAAGTGTTTACCGACGAATGAGAAGTTTTGGCTTGTTTTCATACCGGCCACACTGGGTCCTCCTTTAACTCGAGAACACCGACGTAATCGCCTTGAGTGGTGCAGACAACGGTCACTCTGGGATCAGGAATGGAACAGTATTGTCTTCAGTGACGAGTCTCGATTTTGTTTAGGCATACACGATGGTCGTGCCAGGGTTAGAAGGCGACGTGGTGAAAGGAGGAATCCACAGTTTTTTGTTGAAAGACATGTTCATCACACTGTTCGAGTTATGGTTTGGGGTGCTATAGCTTATGGTTCCAGGTCACCTTTAATCTTCATCAGAGGTAACATGAACGCGCAGCGTTATATCCACGAAGTTCTAGAACCCCATCTTTTACCCTATCTTGACACCCTGGCAGATCCAACTTTCCAACAAGATAATGCCCAACCACATGTTGCAAGAGTCACAATAGACTTCTTTCAACATAATGATGTCACATTGTTACCATGGCCACCAAGATATTCCGACTTATCCCCAATTGAGCACGTGTGGGATATGATGGGTAGGAGATTACTCAATTTGCAACGTCCTCCTCAGACTCTAGAAGCACTTCGAGAGGAGTTGGTGGTTGCCTGGAATGAGATACCACAGGAGGACATTGACCACCTGATCAGAAGCATGCCTAGGCGCGTTGGAGAATGCGTAGCACATCAGGGTGCATCCACACATTATTAAAGGTCAAAAGGCTTTAAAGCAGTGCAATCATTTTGAAATTTTTATCATTTACTTATTATGCTTCATTAAGTACTTATACAAAATTTTATTAAAATAAAACCATTTAAACTGGGTGTTCGGATTTATATGTCACTTAGTATAGCTTATTCTCCATGTCATTGTCTTGCAACTGCCGGAGTATTACATGAAAATCAATCAGTTGGATTTTGCAATTCTGGAATAACTTAGTTATCAATTCCTGCAAATGTCGCTAGATCGGGCAGGTACATAGAACAATGCCGTCTTGCAACTTCAAGGTCTTGTGGACTGTAGAACGGTTTTAACATACTAACAGTTCAAGATGGATAAAAGCTTGTAAAAATGCTTGGATTTTGGACTACAATGATAAAATTGTTGAACGTTGAACTTTTAAAAAATACGAATACTGAAATAAAAAAGAACATGTTGAAAGTTTAAAATACATAATAAATATGTTCTAAAGTATTTTATAAAAACCAGATACTTGTATCTCCTCCTGTCGCCCTAATCCTTCTAAAATGAAGAGAAATAACATAGTTGCAAAAATGATAGATATGGATGGTATTTTTTAGATTATGAAAATATTTAAGTCATGTTGAAGCCACCCACAGTAGTATACTTCCGTTAGTTCAGCCTAGTTATTTTTGTATTAATTTTCTCGTCATAAAGCACTTCTCAATTTAATTTCCCTCGAGAGCGCCATTTTATAATTTCCTGAGGATAAAAATAATGATTCGTTTGCATATTCTAATTAATTTTATTTTCGTTTCTAATTACGCTACTTAAAACCTATTACCGGTGTTCTGAAAAATGCAGGGAAAAACAATGCGTTGGAAAATGAAGACTACCAGGAAAGTCATGTTTGTGAACAGGTCCTTAAAGGTCATTAAACCGTCTAAAAGGAAGTAGTTACTCGAATTTGTTAGATTTAAAAGAAGTTGAAAGGTCGATTTAGATCACGATTTCACATAATGTAAATAAACATTACAATAGTCGTTGCTTACTTGGCAAATATGCTAATCTATACAAGGTGATTCATAATTGCGTGACAACTCAAAAGTTTTAATTCCCATGCCAACTGGCGAGGAAGTCTGTTTGTCCGTGACCCCTCTACAGGGTGTAAACGTTATGATAGTCAAAAGAAGCAAAAAGTTTCATATAACATGGGGGTCAAAACGGCATTTTTTTAGAGAAAAGCTAGTTTAAAGTAAAATAAAATCTGACAACGCCACAATGCAAATTACGACGAAACGCAGTGTAAATATAGATGGAGTTTGTTATTTTTGGCTCTTAGGTATTATTTCATTATTTGATAATGTTCTCGTAAAATGAAAACAATTAAAAAAACGGACTTACCACTTACTGTCTCAGCGCTTCACCTGGTGTGTGAAAGTTCATTGAACGTATTAAAAAAAACCACTTATAAATAGGGAACACAATTTTGATACATACATTGTTTTTCTTTTTAAAACCCACACTGCACTTTTTTTGTATTTAAAGGTGTTCAAAATGTCGTCCACCACTTTCCACACAAGCTTCATTACGACGAACCCAGTTTCTTCTTACTCTAGGTCCTCGAAGTTGTACATTTATTATTTCAGCCGCATTAAATTTTGTTTCGCGAAGTTGTGCTTCAGTTGTTATTAGACCAGCCCCATAAACCATCCCTTTAAGTTCTCTCCAATACCAGAAATCCATCGGATTGAGGACAGGAGATCTTGCTGGCCATTTTCGAGCATCAGGAGCATTTCGACCGATCCAGTGATTTGGATAATGTTCATTCAAATACTGAATGACGCCTCTAAAAATGTGTGGTGGTGCCCCGTCATGAAGAAACCACAAATTCTGTCTCCGTTGTAATGGCATGTTGTCTAAGGTCTGTTCCAAAAGTTCTGGTAGGTTATTGGCTAGAATGCTAAGCTATCGTCAAGAAAAACTCGCCCAAATATTTATTTTAAAACGTTGTTCACGAATGGTATCAGGATTTTCTTGGGCCCACGTGTGAGTATTATGGAAATTTAATATCCCGTCTCGCGTAAAAGAACATTCGTTCGTCGCTAGAATGTTTTTAAAAAAATCCGATTTTCAATGTTTTTGTGCAAAAACCACTGACAGAATGTTAGTCTGCGAGGATAGTCTTCTGGTAACAAGTGCTACACTCGTTGTACATAGTAGGGATAAAGCAAATTTTCTCGTAGGATTCTGTGGACTATGGTATGCGATAGTCCTACGCGGCGGCCTAATTCTTGAGTGCTTGATTTCCACGATATTTAAAATTTGTTCCTCCTGCTCTACAGTAACCTGTCTTTCACGAGTGCGAATATTAGTGGGCTGAACACTTCCTGTATCTCGAAGTCTTTGGTACACTTGCACAAATGTCCTTCTGTCTGGGTGTACCCGTTGGCGAAATCTGTCGCGACAAATTTGAGCTACAAGATTTGAATTTTGACGAGCTTCACCGTAAACTAACAATATGTATTCGAACTCTTGATTCGAGAACATTATAAATAAACACGACGACGTACGCGAACAAAAACAAAACAACACGCCCGATGCTCTGGTCGACAAAACGATAAAGTAATGTATCTATGCAAAACGATAACCAGCCACTGTGACCGTTTGCGATCGATTGCCGGTTCGATAAGAGTGATGAAAGACCGACGCGCTGTTATCATGTGTGTTTTAAATAATTAATTTAATGAAACTTACTTACTGACTACACATTTTGGCTTAACTTAATGCCGTTTATTTGTGAATTACCCAATTTAAAATTATAGGGCCTTGATTACTACTTCCGAAGATACGTGATATTTTGTCAAAAAAAAAACTCAACTTTGACAGTTTGCGATTCATTCTTGTAGAATAACAGCCTTTAGGTGTATCGGGTGGGTCATTAACCTGTGTAGCCGTTCAACCTAAAAAGATCATAACAAAAGCGGACAAGCGAGATTTACCTAAAATAATTTTTAGAATGTAGCATATTAGTTTTTTATTGTTTAAGTAGTTTGTTTATTTTTTGTAATTCTTTCGTCTTTTGATTGATTCAGGGTGGGAGAAGTATTTTCATTTCGAAAAAAAGTAGTTTAACATTTGCCCTTAAAACTACAATGATAAAAATGGACAGATGGACTACTGGTAGGGCAGGAAAAGAATGTCTATCGCTATATTTGACAGACTTTTTTCTCAGAGGGTCTAGTTTGTGCTGAGCACAATCCTGTATGAACTGATAACGGCGCTGCATGGGAGGAGCATACTCAAACCTAGTTGACGCCATTTTTTACATTTGATAAGTTGCCCAAATATTGTGCTACCCTGTACATCGACAGCGATACGGCCCGCAGTTATTATCGACACATTCGAGATGCAGGGCACGCAGCATGATGACAAGAAAAGTTATGGGCGAGTGACAGAGTTTGTGACAGTCAACACATTGCGGGGGCGTGATCCCATGCACAGCATCGCTAAAAAAGGAACATTACTAGGCAATATCAGAGAAATTTCCAGCAAGTTTTCCACTCGCGAACTGCCGACAAGACTACCCTGAGAGAATTGGTAATTTTTAACGGTGAGAGATGGCGTGTTCTTTTGCAGGATTATGACCGTAAGTAGTTGAGGCGGTTGAAGCGCATACAGAGTGGTATAAGATGAAATCCGCTTTACTTACAGTGCTTCGACAAGAGAGTATTATCCAAATAAGGTAGCACAAAGGGACATACAGTAGCGGACGAAAGTTTGGAAGCATTCTTAGTAATTTTTAAAAGTGTGCTAACTTTTTATTCTTTTTTCATATACAGGGTGTTTCAAACTTCTAGGGGTTATTCAGTGTAACAGTAGAAAACATTTGAGTATAGGGACCCATATGCGGAAAAGTGTCACTACGGCACTACGGCCTAAAACGCGTTAAAATTTAGAGCAAGACCAGTATCGTGCATGTTCTTTTTAAACATGCCTGTCTCGGAGAGCCGCCGATGAATAGCAATAAACTTTTTGTATCCCGGATACTGTCGTTCGGGATAACGTTCCTGATACAACCGCGCTGCTGCTCGTGCACTGCCGCTTGTTGCTCCGTATGCCAAATGCATATCCGCCAATTCTTGATTGCATTAGCAACAATTAATTTTTGTTGAATTCTTGCAAACTTCACAAATACGACTAAGGCGATATGGAATGCAGCTACAAAAAACAATCTCTGTTATCGTTTTTAAAGATAAGCACCGGATATGGGTCCCTATATTCAAATGTTTTCTACTGTTACACTGAATAACCCCTACAAGTTTGAACCCATAGTTCTGAAACACCCTGTAGTTTGCTTGTCTTGAGGACACAAATGACAATTTGTGTTTGCTGTGGTACTACAGACTAGTATTAAAATACTTTCATTATTTTATGAACGAAAATGAGACGACAAAGGTATGGAAACATATTTTTCATTACAAAATTAAATACAATAACTCTACAAAAAGATTTAAAAAATACTGTTTAGTTAATATTTGGTAGCATGGCCTTTAGCATTCAACACTGCCTGACATCTGCTGTTCATAGAAGACACCTATTTTTTACAGACGTCTGTTGGGATATTTTGCCTAATGGTTTTTATATATTCAAATAAACCGTTCCTATTTTTTAAAATTTTTTCTTTTCAGTTGTCTTTTAACATGCTCCCAGAGATGTTATATTGGGCTTAGGTCCATGGATTGCGAAGGTCATGTAAGAACATTAACGTTTTTTAGTCTTAACCAGTCCTTTACGAATTTTGAGGTATGCTTGGTGTCGTTATCTTGCTGGAATGTCCATCGTAAAGGCATTTGTTCAGAAAAGGTTCTCTAAGAATATCCTTAAGTTTTTGATCCATTTTCCCAACAATTTTAACAATTGGACCCTTTCCAGAATGGGCAAAACAGCCAACCATGATGTTGCCTCCGCCGTGCTTAACTGTTGGCAACTGATACTTTTTGTCGAATCTTTTTCGTATTGAACGTCTCATATATGCCGTACCGTCAGATCCAAACAAGTTAAATTTGCTCTCATTTGCTGCCCAACCGAGCAATACGATTTTTTTTAAATGAGAGGCTTTTGCACTGGACGCCTACCACAAGGCTGAAAATCCAATAAGCGTCTCTGCACTGTTCTGACATAAAGATTCTCGGCACCCTTTTCTACGATTTTTTTGAAAATCCATGTGGCTGGCATTCGAGGATCTTCATGGCACAAACGTTTAATGTACCGATCCAAACATAAATTTTTTTCGGATTTCCGCACCTGGGCGGCGTTGCTGTTGATCCGTATTCTTGATAATTACTAATAATTTTCTAAATCGTCCCTTTGTTCATTTTTAATCTTTGAGAAATGTCAATATTTCTGACACCACTTCTAAATAATTCAATTACTTTGTATCTTAAATCTTTGGAAAATTCTTTTACTTTTGCCATTCTCACTGATGTTATTATTTACCGTACGCAATATCAGAGTATCGCAGAACGAATAAATACGGTAAAACTGAAATGTTTCCATACTTTTGTCGTTACAAAAATTGTGGTATTTAAAAAATGCGTGTCTATTTATTTATTTTCAGAGAATTTGAATATTAATAAGATAAACCTTGTATTAGTACGGGAGCCAAAGGTAGACTTTCATATTTATATTATCTGTTCCTTCACAATTTTAATTTAGGTGTATGAAATAGTTCATAATAATGTTAATATTTGTTTCCAAACTTTTGTCCGCTACTGTATATTATCAGAATTGTACGCTAAACATTCCATTTCACCCCAAACAAAAAAAAAAGAAATCAAGAAGGTTCTTTAGAAACGATCTCGCACTCGCGAATCCTCGACAGTTCGAAGAGACCGTAAATTATAATAATATGGACAACTCGGTAAGAGTGAGCCATTTTTTTTAGGACCGATATTTAAAGGTTTTGTTCACAAACTTGGCCAGCGCAGAGATTGAGTACTGATGCGTATAGTACGTGTTCACGTTTGATGTGATCGAGGTTGAGGACCGGATTAGGTTTTGTTTAGGTTCTATTGATTTTGACATCTTGGTAATCTCAAGACTGATGTATATGTTACTAGAAAAAAACTGCTTATTTTTCCAAGATCCATACGGCGTGTAAAGTCCCAACTTTGAGGACATCCCGTATACTAAAAATCAGTATCTGTTTCACAAAACCAGTTTATTTTTTAATTTTTTATGCCGTGCAGGCAGAAGCCTAAATACCAGGGCACCGCGATTGCTATGAGGAGCTAAAAGAAACTTGATTTCTATGCGTAAGGAAACCTTTTTAAAATGGATATTGTCAGACTAACGTATTGTTTCGTTTCTTTCAGGTGTACTACACCAAGAAAAAACGACGGGCAGCTCAAGTTCAAGGCGACGACAGCTCGCATAAAAAGGAGAGAAAGATTTATAATGACGGTTATGATGATGATAACCATGACTACATCGTGAAAACCGGTAAGTCAGAAAGTATTTTTTTATCTCCCTTTACTAATTGATAATGTGAGCAATAGTCCAAAATAATGTATTTTTAGTGCCTTCAATTGGATACTCTAGACGCAAAATGTTTTGTTCTTATTTCTCAGATTGTTCATTTTTTTACTTCCCATCCGACATCCGCTAGGTGGCGCTATCATCAGTCCACAACAAGAGCGGACTTCGTGTGTCGATTTTTTCCCTCTCCATCTTCGTTTCCTCAGGTTACACCCGTATCCGGATGTGTGGGCATGTGTATCTACTTTTATAGTTGCATATGTGCATTCATTTTGGGCCTGATGAAGCCAACCAGCAGAAATACGTATCGTTCGGGTTACCTATCCTATTTTCTGCTCGAATCCACTTTACTCCTTTTTGCGGATTTTGTCCATTATTTTCCTAATTTTTGTTATATACCTTTCTCCGCATGATCATTTTCTCTTTGTATATTTTCTCTCTCTCTCTATATATATATATATATATACGAGCAGTAGTCATTGCCATTGCCAACGACCAGTTGGGCAAAACTTAAAGCGTAGGGAACTCTTTTAACTGAAATCTCGAGCTTTCGACAAACTATGTTGTTATCTTCAGGAGTCGACGATGAAATTTCTGTAAATTGTTGTTGTTTTGGAACAAAAACGTGTATGAGACCACTTGTTACGATGATAAAAACAAAAGACCGGACACATTGGGTTTGTTGTTAACGACGGAACATATAACTATGCGTTAAAAACCTCTGTCAATAAACCCAATTAAAAAATGGAAAAATTTGTTAAAAACTAAAACTTTATTTTGGGGAAAGAAATGTTATTTATTATAATATTAATAATAATGTCTTTAATCAGAAATTATCACCGTATACCTGTTGCACGTGGTATTTCCGCGTCATTCACCCTCACCACGTGCATAATACACTATACTTATACCACAAAAGTGTAGGTTGGCTGTTATTAGTGACTTCGTGTTTCGTGTGTTGTTTTGTTCCTCTCCATCTTCGTTTCATCAGGTATCCGGATGTATGGGCATGTGCGTCTACTTTTGTAGTTGCTATGTGCATTCATTCCGGGCCTGATGAAGCCAACATGCAGAAATACGTCTTGCTCGGGTTACCTATCCTACTTGCTGCTCGAATTCAGATTCCTTCTGTTCTTATTCCGAGATATTCAATAGCTTCTCTAGACTTTATAGTTATACAATGTATGTCGTCTTTAAACCGTAATGTTTGATAGTTGGGCAAGGAATTATTGTAACTAGTGAATAGAGCAACATGAGTTTTATCGAAGTTTATTGTTAAAGGTTTGATTGTACACCAATGAGTGTTAGTATCATAATCATTTTCAGTTATTCCTGTCAAATGTTCCCAAGACTAAAAGTTACTAATTATCTGTATTTTTGTCTTTAGGTGAGAAGTTCCTGGATAGATACGAAATAGACTCACTGATAGGCAAGGGCTCCTTTGGGCAGGTGGTAAAGGCGCTCGACCACGTGGATCAGTGCCACGTCGCCATAAAAATCATCAAGAACAAGAAGCCTTTCCTCAACCAAGCGCAGATTGAGGTCAAGCTGCTTGAAATGATGAATCGGGCGGATATTGAAAATAAATATTATATAGGTATGTAGATTCCTTTAGTGCCCAATGGTAAGGATCAAAAATATTTTCCGAATTTTTAAGTGACTTTTCAGAATGCCACATCTCAGTGAAAAATGATCATATGGAGGTTTTAAAAAAGAATTTTGAAGCTCCAAGTTTCTAGACTTAATATCTTTTAACAACCACTGGTTGCACAGACAATCTACGGACTGTTCTGAAAACTGGAACGAAGCTCCTACAAGAATCTGTTGCGAAAAAAAATATGTTCATTCTTTCACTCAAAATTTTGAAATAATTACCCTTTTTTCCATTAGTGTTGTATCATCAAGAAGTTTCCGGACAAGCTCTGTAATTTACCTAAAGTACCGTTTTAACTAGAATTATCTATCTACAGTTTATGCCGGGTGAATATTGATTTAATTTTTTCTTTCAGTAAAATTGAAAAGGCATTTCATGTGGCGGAACCACTTATGTTTAGTGTTCGAGCTGCTATCGTACAACCTGTACGACCTGTTGCGGAACACCAATTTCCGCGGCGTGTCGCTGAATCTCACCAGGAAGTTCGCTCAGCAACTTTGCACGGCACTCCTGTTCCTTAGCACGCCAGAACTGAACATCATTCACTGTGATCTAAAGCCGGAAAACATACTATTGTGCAATCCGAAGCGATCGGCGATCAAGATTGTGGATTTCGGTAGCTCTTGTCAGCTTGGACAAAGGGTAAGTTACATTTTCATAAATACAGTTGTTCTTTCCAACAAGTAAACTCTCACTCGCACGGGCTGTCAAATGTCACCATTTCAAGTCAATGATAATACCATTTCCTGTGGGAAAGTTCACTTTTTAAGAAAAAAAAAATACAAAATGAACAGAAAATATTGTAGCATTTTTCTGGGTGCTTTTGTGTGTGGATTAAAACACGGGATTCCACAAAAAGAAATGCACTAATTTATCTTGACTAGATACAGATCGAGAAGCTCTGGCGAGTAGGAGAGTCTCCCAACAGATGGCGCCAACGGTATTATTTATTTTTGTTACAACATTTATTACTATCAACATATTCGTAAATTTGGCGAGTTTCATTTCTTGAATATCATTCGGTCCAAATGTTTGCCATCCCTTCGGACACACTCTTCTACTCGCGTGCGCAAATTCTGAAACACCTTGCAGAGTTCCGGAGTGATGATGTTTATTTCTCGTCGAATGTTGTCTTTAAGCTCCTTCAGAGTTCGTGGATTATTGGAATACACTTTTGACTTTAGGTAACCCCACAAAAAAAATGCATGGCGTAAGGTCAGGTGACCTAGGAGGCCAGTGAATGTCTCCAAACCATATGTTTCTGTTAAATCGACGTTCTGCTCTTACTACTCGTATAGGAGCAAAAAAAGTGTCAATCATCCCCTTGTATAGCTCGGAATTGACTTTCAATACATAACCGTTTTCGACTTTCAATACATAAACGTTTTCATCTTCAAAGAAATACGGCCCAATAATACCGCTAGAGGATATGGCACACCAAACAGTCACCGTTGGACTATGACTGTTGTTTATGTTTCTCTTTTGGGTTCGTTGGTTCCCAATATCTGCAATTTTGCTTGTTTACATAATCGTCTAAGTGAAAATGGGCCTCGTCAGTGAAATCAATGTTCTCAAGTCTGCGCTGGGCAGGAAAAAGATGCAACTTCCGTTCAGCACAAGATTTCCGTAATACGTAATCACTTTCCTTTAAAACATGGATTGATTGGATTTTGTAAGGATGAAAACCCATTTTTTTCTTCATTATGTCATGCAGTGATGACCTAGGGATTCCCAAAGCAGCGGAATGCTTCCGTACAGAATGCCGATGATCACTTACTCAACGCACATTTGCTTCTGTTAATACGGTAGGTGCGGGAACGGGAATGGGGTGAATAAGAGCCTGTTTCACAGATCTCTTAATCCAATTTTTCAATAGGTTCATTCTTTGGGCATCTCTTGGTCGGCGAATGTTGTATCGTGTACAAAATTTCCGAAGGACAGCTGCGTATGAATCACCACTCTTAAAGTAAGCCTCGATGACAAAAGCACGTTGCGCTCCGGTTCAACGTTCCATTGTGACTATTTAACCTGCCCACTTCCTCGCGTATACGGTTGCCGCGTAATTCAAATTTGAAATGTGAACTTTCCCACGGGACACCAAGCCACCATCTGAACTGATCTGGTTCACTGTAAACGACCGTTTAGGATTTTTAGAAATTCATTGTTAAAACGACCGATAGATACACTCTACTTCTAGATTTGTGGCTCTATAGCCCAATTTTACTAATCCGAGGAACAACATTTGCGCCTATGATACAAATCTGATCAATGAGAGTGCGTTTTTGAATCAATCTAATGATTATGGTCGATTTCTTGTAAAATGTCTCGCAAAATCCTCTTATTAAATTATTATAAACGACTTTTATTTACGGCGAAGTTTAGCTACAAGCTCCACCACTTAACCCTTGAAAAAACTGGCACTATAATATTTAAAACAATTTGAACAAAATATTCTTCCAGAATTTAGACGAAAATTAAAAATTAAATACAGCATACACAATCATGTGTGTACAAAAAAATTATAAAAGATTTATATGCAGAAATATGAGGAAATATAGATGATCCATATACTGGGAGTGAATTCGGATTTAAGCATCAAAAATAATTTTTTTAATTTGCTTTTTGAAATTATTAAAATCAAGATGTTTAGCAGTCGATGGTAATGCATGATATAGATGGATCGCATCATGAAATAAAGAAGTTTTGTGTTGTACAACCTTGCAACATTCAACCAGTTCAGCTGTTTGAACCATGAACTAATATGATCATAAATTGAAAAGCAATCTACAACATGAATTTTGTATTTTTTTGTAGACGTTTAGCTGAAGCTAAATCTATATATTAAATCACAATATGTGATTTTTGATGTTACTAAAGATTCACTGTTTTTTTTAACATTTAAAATCAATTATTAATATTTAAGTGCAAATGCTGTAAAACCGTGAAACAATTTTTAGTTAAGTTATTTACATGAGAAATAAATTTGAGATTTTCATCTATAAACATTCATAAGTTTTCAACTGATTTTTCTTTTTATATTTGATATATCACATGATTTAGCTACAAACACTTATTTTTTGATTTGTGTCTGGGACAAAAATTTTGTTCTCCACCAATTAAATAGAAGGTTTTGTCTTATAGTCGCAAGTTCGACCAATCTAAAAAAAAACATTTGTGCTCTGCTCCAAACATGGATTTAACCTAATACAATAAATAGATATGACAACCATTACTGGGAGTTTGATTGAAAATAAACACCGTCACTACCTACCTGAGATAAAAAAGGCTATATTTTTAATAATCCATCAACATGTCCATTGAGGATAGCTGCAAATACCTATTTTGTCTCTTTATTGGTTTGTAATAGGTCAGTCATACTAGCTCATGCTGTGCAAAATTCTGCGTAATAATTTCTTTTGAAGACAAATAAAATTACAGAATGCTTATTCTTTAACAAACATCGAGTAAATATTCAATTTACTTGACTTTGTATTTTTATGTTCAACGCCTTAGAGCTAAGCTTCCTTGTGTATCACAACAATACCGCCAGCGACAACTACAGACATCGTGGCATCGATTGATGTGATCTTCAATCATCAGGTGACTCGATATTCACATCAATCGAAAGGTCGTTAAACAAAAAACTTTATAGAAAAGTCCGACAAACATACTGCCAAAAATGGCGTCGTCGTTTCACCGCTTTCTAATGGACTACCTTGCCACGGTGTCGATACTAAACTAAAACTAGACACGTGCTGAGAATAAAAGTGAAAGAAGCATGATTTTTCGCACGGTAGTCAAGTAAATTGAATATATACTCGATGGTTGTTAAATAATAAGCATCCTTTATGTATTTGTATTTATGTCTTCAATTAGATTATTAAACAGAATTTTATACAGCAAGAACAAAAATCAATGGGCATGTTGATGGATTGTTAAGAATATAGCTATTTTTAAAGTAGTTGAGTGGTGGAATTTGCTTCTCGTTTACAAATGCGTCTGGACACAAATGAAAAAAATAGATTCCTGTGCCTAACCTCTGTGATATATGAAATATTTCTTGACTTAATATAAGAATTATGCGCCCATCTCAGACAAATCCTATAATTTTTTTATAGTTTGCGAGACATTTTACAAGAAATCGACCGGCTCCTTTGGTGGAATTTGTACCGTAGTCGCAAGTTTTGATTCCCGCGGGTCAATAGTACAGGGTCCGTCAGAAAGGACGCATATTTTTCGAATGGGTACTACGTCGAGTTGGCTGGTCCCGTGTCGGTGGGGAAGGGCGTGTTGGATAGTGGGTGAAGTGCCGTTTCAGTTGGCATGATGGTTTGCAACGTTGAGCATCGTGTGTTCACTGTACGTCGGTACTTTCAAAATGGCGAGTTTGTCTTTCAAACGCAACGTGAGTTTCGCGTTCACTTTCGTCAACTCTCGCTCTGTCTACGTTTTCGGGGGTTCTAACAGTACGGTGTCGCCCTGGCGGTTTTTTCTTCATCACATTACCTGTCGTGTTGAATGCTTCCACCCATCGCAAAATGATGTTACGGTCTGGTACTGTCCCACGACGTGCAACACGAAAGTGAACGCGAAACTCACGTTGCTTTCGAACGACAGACTCGCCATTTTGAAAGTACCGACGTACAGTGAACACACGATGCGTAACGTTCCAAACCATCTTGCCAACTGAAACGGCACTTCTCCCACTATCCAACACGCCCTTCCCCACCGACACGGGACCAGCCCAGTCGATGTAGTACCCATTCGAAAAACATGCGTTCTTTCTGACGGACTCTGTATTTATAACTAACAGCATTTATCATCTTTTGCATAACTTAAAGGCCACCACTTATACGGCCTTCTGCTTACGGTTATGTTCCGTCTCCTTTATCCTTTCTCGTTCTCGTTCGTTCAATCACAACTAGTTCGAACGGATTTTTCAAGGAATGATGAACTAGTTCACTTAGTTGAACGCAAACTACACACCGCTAATCACGTTTAATTTTTTGTTGCTTCAGATATACCAGTACATCCAGTCGAGGTTCTACCGATCGCCCGAAGTCCTCCTAGGCATCCCGTACGATTTGGCCATCGACATGTGGTCTTTGGGCTGCATCCTGGTGGAGATGCACACCGGAGAACCGCTGTTCAGCGGTGCGAACGAAATCGACCAAATGAACAAGATCGTCGAAGTGTTGGGAATGCCACCGAAGCATCTGCTGGACCAGGCGAATAAGACGAGGAAGTTTTTCGAGAAGATGCCGGGAGAAAGAGGGTAAGGCATCATTATTATTGCTTTTATGGTTCTAGAAGGAGTGTTGGTGTGATTGAGCCCATTTACCAATGGTCAACGAGCTGTATAGGAATTTAGTGAAGACAGTTTTTACAGAAAACCAGTTATACTGTTACATAAATGGCACAGATTAATGGTGATATCGTAAGAAGTATATTTTCATCAGGCGCATTGTTATATCCGAAGCTGTGGGAAAAAATCCTTATTTTTATATTTGAGCTTTACCTCAGAATGGGAGACAATAAGCTGTAAACTAGAATTTAATTTGTCATTCTAACACTGGTCTCAAAAGTTGCAGAAAATTTCGTGTTGCTCCAAACATTTTTCATACAATTATCCATTTTTGAGATTACAGCACAATGCAAGGTCAACCATTAGTAAATAATACGCGGTATTAAGTCTATGAATCGTTGAAAAATATACTTGACTTTGAAGTTGAGTCATTAATTTTCAGATAATGATTGTAGAAGGAAGATAAACCAAAATATGTGTGTAAAAATAAAAAAAAATAAAAATGTTACCTTGTTTTATAAAGTATCCTCCCGACAAGTATTTCAGAGCGGACCTATATTTGTTCGTGCGGTCTTGGAGCACCGGCATGATCTCCCCTGTGAGGTCTTAAGTCACCTGATTCACGAGCCCTTTGTACTACATTAACAAAGGCACGAGGTGTTGGTTGCACTCGATTGGGAAACCGATTCACATAAATCCGTGATGCCGCGGCAGCATTTTGTAAAGACTCCCCCCCCGTAAATAAGAATCATGTCCACAAGTTCAGCATTTTCGTAAACATGTGCCATTTTTAATTTGTTTGAGCCATGCAACAAACACCACTATTCACTCACGCGATACCGACTGACACATTGACTGAATGCAACTGAATAAAATTGTAGTAAAAACATCGTGATAAACGTTTCAAATTCTTTCGCTTTTTTGTTTCCGACGCGATGAACCGATAAGGCGGATTATATCCGTTGTTGCCAAACACGAGCACATAATATTATTATTGAGACAGGGCGGTACTCAAACTCCTAAAGGGCTATAACTTTGTTACTTTAATTTTACCAGAAAAATGTTAAAGGAAAAAAAACATTTCTTTTGATCAGATCTACTCATTGTTAAAATAAATGACTCAACTTCGACGTCACCCTGTATAGTTACGCATAATGAGCATTTTTTTATTAATTGCATTATATTTTTGATATTTTATATTAATCAAATATATGTTTATATAAAATGTATGCTTATATTGAAATTCCCAGAACCCAAATAAAGAATTGCGCCATCAACAAAGTCATATTTTTTTATAGAGACCCCATAGTAGTACATATCTAGCATAGCTTGGCAAAAAATCAGGAACTACGGGGTGATTCTGTGTCTATAAGGATTGACAGATCAAAACCGTAAAAAGATTCCAGGACCCAAATGAAGAATTGTGCCTCATTTACGAGGAGGTACCAAAAATAACCGTAATAGCATTGCAGTGGGCGGAGCTTGTGTAGTACACATTTCTGCCCCTAGATGCCTACAGTGCAACTCATTACCAGTTCAGTGCCAACTGAGTTGTCGATCTGGCATGTTTCGTTCCTCTGTAGTCATTATTTTTTTTGCTAGAGCTCTTTCGTGCTTGTTTCGTTTTTTACGATGGCAAGCTTCAGTGAGCAACGTGCATCTGTGAAATGTTACTTTCTAATTGGTAAAAATGCGGCTGAAACTGTTTTAATGCTGAAAATAGCTTACAAAGATGATGCTATGGGAAAAACTCAGGTGTACGAGTGGTTTGCTCGATTTAAAAATAGCGACATGTCGATTGATGATAAACCTTGGTCTGGACGTCCATCAACTGCCCGAATCGACGGAAATGTTGAAAAAATTTCTAGTGTTTGTGCTATTTGGAGGTTTTAAGACGATTTCCAAAAACACCAGATTTGTCGCAGTTAGGAAACTGGTTCTTCCACCACGATAATGCACCTGCGCACACAGCCATGTTTGTTCGACAGTTTCTGGCTAAAAATGGCATAGTTCCGCTGCCCTACGCACCTTACTACGTGCGACTTTTTCTTATTTCCACGGATGAAAAAAAAAAAACGAGGGAGGAGCTGTCAGACATTTCTAAGGAAAAATGTTTCGAGCAGTGGAGGCACCGGTGGGACAAGTGTATTAGTTGTAGTGAACAGTATTTTGAAGGAGATAAGAATACTTTGTGAAAAAGTTGATAATAAATATTTTTTAAAAAATAATTCCGTTTTTTTTTTGGATACAACCCCTTCTTATGCTATAGAGGCACTATAGTAATACATGTCTAACTTTTTGCAAAGGTATACTCTAACTTTTTGCAAAGGTATACTCTAGATATGTCCTTCTATGGGGCCTCTCGTACATATGAGTTTGTTGGTGGTACAATTCTTCGTTTGGGTTCTACATTTTTTTGCTCATTTTTTTATACCTATAATGTAATTAGTATATATTAGAGTATAATTAAGTAATGGAAAATATTTAATATAATGCAAAAATTAACAAAAATGCTAATTATGCGTAACTGTATATTTCGTAATTATTTTTAGTCCTAGTACGGCGTATTATTTATCGGGACTAACGGTTGCCCTTGCATTGTGCTGTAAATAACTAAGCGCTGCGCGCTTTCTGCCCTCTATCTCAATTGTTAATTGCACGAAAAAGTATTTGAAATAAAAGTTGCTCGGAATTCGATTTTCTACAGTATTAATAATAAATGCAAATAGCATTAAACCACAAGAAGCAATATGTCCTTTGATATCTCAACTTGTAGAATGACATTGTAAAGGTTTCTACAAGTGTACAGCTTAATATCGCTAATTCCAAAGTTGACCCTCTTTTAAGGCTACAAAATGAAACCTTAAATATACATTAGTAGCCATTTTTACACTGTAGCTAACTAACCACCAAAATCGTGCTGTTTCGTGGATTAAGACAGCTATGTGTCAAGAGATAGCATGCTTTCCTAGACCTTAGACGCGAGTGTCCATGTTTACTGCATAGTCTGCTGTGAGCGCTAGTGTAGCTTACGATATAAACGGACATGTGTTGCGCCATCTCTTGGCGCACGCCCAAGTTAACGCAAGGAACGGCACATTTCTGTGGTTCGCCAAACGCACTCTAGCATTTTTGTATGTTCCGTTTGTTTTTTGTTGTTGATTGAAAATTACCTTAATTTACAGTCGTGACGTTGAAAAGAACCAGATTTCAACCACAAGGCGGCATCAGTAAGTGCTTCATGTGTTGATGTTTGGTTGTGTCTGTGTAATAATAATATCTATCGCCTACCAACTAACCATAATTATTAATTTAAAATATGGGCTGGTTCTTTTTTATTTGTTAACAAACAAGAAATATATATGTAGGTATTCACTCGTAAGAATAAACTGATTCCATCTGACTGCTATATAATGAATCCAATGTGGCTCCAAATATTACATATTTTTAACTCGCATAAATAATTACATTTAGAATGGTATAGAGCCGATCTTAATCTGGAGTGATACTGGACTGATTCAATGTGAAGGATCCAAAACAGAAGACGCTTCATTTTAGGCTTCCTGATTGGATTCGCCATATTAGGTCCACCCAACGAATTTGAATGGTTTAGAAGGAGCCAAACCTATACATTTATATTGCATTTGTTTGTCGCCAAAATTTCGTAGCTTTAGTGCATACTTTTAGCTCATTTGTCTACCAATGCCTTCCAAAGTGACAGAGTTGTATCACCATAATAATAACACTTACTGGTAGAAAAATCTACCTTCATTAGGCTTGTGACGCTCTTTGTAAATTATGTAAGAAGAACTATGCGTTCAAATTGTCTAACACTACTGATATCAGCAAACACCCGCACTTAACAGTATCAGCACTAAAAATGCGAAGTTAATGAGAAAACTGTAAAAAATGACTTTTATCAAGTGCACGTTGATCCTCACATGTTCCCCTCCTCATTAGAGTATTATATTAGACATCTTTATTAGATCATGACCGTTTTCATCTTCAAAGAAATACGGCCCAATAATACCGCGCACAAAATAGTCCCCTTTGGACTATGTAGCTGTTCTTGATGTTCCTCTTTTGGGTTCGTTGGTTCCCAATATCTGCAATTTTGCTTGTTCACATAACCGTCTAAGTAGAAATGGGCCTCGTCACTGAAAGCAACGATCTCGCGTGTGTGCTGCGTAGGAAAAAGATTCAACGAAATCACGTTGCGCTCCGGTCCAACGTTCCATTATGACTATTTAACCCGCACGCCGAACGCGTCGATCAAGACCTCTCCCCACTTCCTCGCGTATACGGTTGCCACGTAATTCAACTTTGAATTGTGAACTGTCCCACTAGACACCCTGTATTAATTCGCTACATAAATATGAATACAAGTGTCCATATGCATATAGCCAGGTCTAGTCCTCCCCAACCTCTGGGTAATAACTCGATGCACCAAATGAATGACAAACTCAACGAACGATAACAATGAGTGCATTGTCGTATGTTTCTACCTTTCTCTTCTACATTAGACATTAGACTGATGAATTGCGAACATAACGAGCCACATATATTCATAGATGATGTGGCGAGGAACGTTGTAACGTTGTACAGGGTGACATACATTTGGTTATTGTTATTTTCGCCGCTGTTTCGTGTAATGTCCGCCAAAAACGATCTTTTATTTTGAAAATTGGATGAGTTACTCTTACATCCATTTTCTAAAATGTACTGCCTACCATTTTTTACTTCCTACGCTACTGGCGATGATAGCAAAAATGTTCGAAAATGAGATATTATGTTTTTTAGCTGTTATATATCTACGTCGTGTCATACATTTCTGTCAGTCTGTCTGTCGATTGGTTCGCTAATGCTGGGTCCGTCTATAACTTTCATAAACTTAAAAAGAACTTACGATCTTCAAATAGCTGGACAGATTTTTATGAATCGTACATGAGCTAAAAACACTAGATTTAATTACGTCTGAAAAAACTAAATCTGATACGCAGGAGTATTATGTAAAAAACGTCAAAAAGCCGACGAAATGTCATTTTGCAGTTTTTAGTGTGCAAATGGTGCATTCCGCTTTTGTTCGCTATGATCGCTGACACCTTTTGGTTAAGTTTCAAAGGGTCTTGAACGTTTTATAGTTAGTATATTGATACGCTTCCAACCCTGGTAATACTAGACGCCTATTAGACATATTTTATACATATATTTCTCTTAAAACATTAGTGTACTAGTAAATTGTAAAGTAAACTTGAGATATATTTTCAATATACGCGTCCCAGACGAGCATAAATCTAACCGCTTCAAATGCTGACCGATGATGGTGTATACAACGCCGTACTGGGTTGAAAATGCTGAAGCAGCCAGAGTTGCCACGATGCCGGGTGGTTGGAACTGTTGGAAGCGCGTTTGAAAAATCGCAATGTTGTCAAGTCTATGGGGACTATGGATTAATTGTATCGGCCTGTTTGAATGACGATCCATTTATTTTGTTATACATGCTCGGAGATAACTTTTTTAAGAGAGCTAACTTGTGCCGAATATGATCCTACTTGTCGCCATTTTTTTGTGTGATTTTGTTTGTTTATTGGAATAGTCTGTTCGGTCAGAGTATTGGTTCTGAAATAAATAATTCAACTAACTAGAAAATAGTGTAACATTTGGTAGTTCTATACTAAGTTCCTGTTTTTCCTATAATCGTTTTCTCATCCATAACTTGCAACAGCGATTACAGGTACGTCCTGAAGAAGTCGAAGGACGGCAAGAAATATAAACTTCCCGCAACGCGACGTCTCCACGACATCCTGGGCGTGGAGTCGGGAGGTCCCGGAGGAAGAAGAGCCGGTGAAGCGGGCCACTCCATGTCCGACTACCTCAAGTTTAAGGACCTCATCCTGCGTATGTTGGACTACGACCCCAAGACGAGGATCACTCCCTACTACGCCCTGCAGCATAACTTCTTCAAGCGGACCTCGGACGAGAGTACCAACACCGCGAGCAGTACCAGTTCTAGTCCAGCTGTCGCTTCGCTGGATATGGTGGCTAATAGTTCTAGTAGTCAACACGGTAAGGGTTTTGTTGCGTTTTAGTTTTTTTTTGTATTTGCTACCATTTATACAGGGTGGTCCAGAAGTGCCGCGACGGCAAAATATTTGAGGATATTCACAGTAAAGTAAAATATTAGAGGTTTCATGATGTTCTCCCCTGGCTATTCAGCGGTTACCTTGAGTTTGATGTTGAGCATGATTTTGAAGGTCAAATCGAGTTCGCGGCGATTTTTTAATGGAATAAAGCGAAACAATTATCACGCTCAGAAATGACCTTGGAGGAAATTTGCTTTAATCGTGAACATCTTGGTAGGAAACTGTAAAAAAGTGTCATTTGAAAGGAATTCAGGTATCTGAAGAGAAAGAAAAAATTTGGTCTCAAAGGCAGCAGGCGCTTTAATTATTCTCTGATTATTCATGGATGAGGTTTACTATGACCTTGAGGTTCAAATCGATGCCAAGACAATTTTGTTTGATGGTACTCTATACTTAGAACGGATATAATTTTACATTTAGCTATGATCTTGGGTGATAATCGTCTGGACCTTGGACGTCCTTGCAAAGGTCACCGTAAAAATCCATCGTTTGACAAAAATTCAGGGATGTTTCTAAAGATAAGGACTTAGTCATCAGAGGCTCCAATTTGCTTGGCTTTTCACTGGTGACCTTGGTTATGACGTCGAGGGTCTTATCAAGGAGACATGTTTGCATGTTATCCTATACGTTTGATCCCGCAAATGGATAAAGCGAAAAATTTCATTTTTAGACACGACCGTCCAAAGACATTCAATCTGCAAATAATTTTCACTCAAGAACCTATCTAAACGTCAAATTGTTGTTCATATCTGGTGTCAAAAGTATAGGGTCTTGTTTAAAAAACCGTATTGACATTTATTTGAATTTCAACTGCATGCTCAAGGTCAAATTCAGCGTCACCACTGAATAGCTGGGGGTAAATTCTGAAGCTGTACTACTTTGTTTTTATCATACTCTTAAATATTTCCAAATATCTTGTTGTTCCGGATTATTGGGTCACCCTGCAAAGTGAGAGCTACATGATAAAATCCTGACTAATCAAGTAACAAAATTGAACGTGGAAATAATTTAGTTCTTATGATCGAAGATGACGGGAGTCATTATGTGTTTGTAGGGGTATTCTTGAATTCCGCAAGTGACATTTTTCATTCGACAAAATCTTGCAAAACTAAAATCATACGTCAATGAACGATGCGTTAGAGATTTTTTTTCTGTTCGACAAAACGGTAAATGACAGAGTAGGAGTATAAGTTGCATGGAAATACTTATATTCACTTACTACGAAGAAGTATTGTAATCGCGAGAAATTTCGAAAATGATGGTTTTTTGTTGTTATATGACATGTCAATCATATATTTCACACATCATAGATTTGCCCGTACATGAGTTATACATGTTGGTAACTAACTTTATTATCAGTGCTGAACACAAACCGTTATGAATTGCCGAGTCAACCTACTTGACGTCATTTTTTTTCATCATTGACTACATTTTACCAACAGCTGTCTTAAAATCAAATAACTTAACAATAGTGACAGCACGGTGACAAACGATGGCAGGAATCGCAAATATAAAATTTCAGTATCGCATGCGAGAATATGTTGCGTGCGAAATTTGAGAACGCTCCCTTTAGCGGAACTTGTTCACAAGTTTATCACAGGGTGTTCCAAAATAAGATATTTTTCGTGTTGTAGTGTGGTTTAGTATGTATGCGATAAATTGACGTTAACTGGGACATCCTGTATAAAACATGTGAACAAGTTTCACTAAGGCATACGATGAGCTTCGTCATTGTCGATATATGTACGTACTAACGTTTAAAAACATTTCATTCTCTTTCTTGTTACTTGATCGGCAAGGATTTTTGTAGCCAGCTATTGGACTATAAGAAATACATCGGAAAGCGTTTTTATGGGAAACAGGTCTTTTGGTGCTTATTTCCTAATATCTTAGATATTTCTCTCGGCACTTTATTGTTCAAGGTATAATGTTTGTTTTGATATGGACATGCAAGGTACTTTAAGAAAATATACTTTTTTCTGTGGCGGGGAAAAAAGTTTGATATTTTATCTCTGTTGACAGGCAACAAAACTTTTTCCCGGGAAAAAAATGATTACTTTTTTCCCGGATATTGTATAATTTTTGTGGCGCTACTTCTACTAATTCCGGTGAAGTCAAAGAAAACTCGGAATCAGACATTTTTTACTTTATAGTATTAAAAATAACTTCTAAACAACCATTAAGTTCACAATTTTTAAGTCAAACCACAAAATTAAATTGACAGCTATTTGATTACTTTAAAAGTTTCCTAAGCACCGCAGGTGTAATTGTCGCTATAAGTACAATATAGCCTACTACTAATTTCAAAATTCAAATTTCACATCGATAATTTTCTGAATTAAGTATTGTAATAGCTTAATTTTTCAATATTAAATCATCGTTTTTCCCGTCACAGAAAAATATTGTGTATTATACAAGGGAAAAATACTAGATTATGGCTTTCGGTTTTTTGTCTCCCTCCGCTGCGTCAGGAGCCAGCACAACCTGAAGCTAAAATCTAGTAATTTTTTCCCTTGTACAATAAATAACTATGATACGGCTACTTTTCAACTCAAACTAAATAATGAAACGAGGAAGTCAAACCGGCTTTTTTACATTTTTTCGTTAGTCGATATTGGTTTTTCGATTAAAAAGTCTTCCTGTAGGGTTTATTAACATTTGAAATGTACTTAACGTAAATATTCTACTATAAAAGTGGGCACAAACATTCTGTCTAAAAAGGTTGATGGGCTTTGTTTGAATACCTGCATAAACGTCATCAAAACACATATTCCTAAAAAAACGAGCCGTGTATTTTTTTAATAAAAATTATTGCCAAAAAACCAAATACTACTTTGTCAATTGGAATCAGCCAAATGCATTCATGCTAATTCTATACGATAGGTTTAGACCTTTTTATGTGAATTAATCTATATTTCAAGTAGTCTTTGGTAACAAAGTCCTTTATTCTTGTCGCTGAAGTAATTGGTATTGTATGTATATATGCAGACCTGTCAGGAAGTCATCGATGACTAACATAGTCGTATGGTTATGATGATAACCAGTTAACACAGGTACTAAATAGTGCATGAAATCACTAGGATCCTTTTTTATTTCACCTTTCTTAGTACTTGGAACATCAGTTGTCTAGACATGTGACGAATAATGTTCTTCCGAATTTCCATTTAAAAGATGAAATTTCTGCATTTGGTGTCAGTATGATTAAACTAGTTTATCCTAATTGAGAAAATATCCTCTGTGTAAGGTTTCAGTCGAAACTTCGGTACAACAAATTCTTTGTTTTCAGTTCGTAACTTTTGATAATGAGAATGTTCCTTACAAAATGTATAAAGATTCCAGTTCGATACAGGGTGTTAATTGAATGTCAATATGTCAGTAGGCGATTTTTGAGTCCATTTTAGAAGAAAACTCCATATTAAGGTCGTAAATTTTGAAACACGGTGGTAAAGTTTTCAAAAATAATTAATTTATTATTAATATCTGTAAATACCACTTTAGATATTTCTATGAAATTTGGCATACATGTAGAACCGCTTTATTTTTTTGTCGTTGCTACGGAATTTCACCTGCCTATTTTGGCAGACATTCATGGTACGCCACTGATTTCTCTTAAAATAAACATGATTCTTGAAATCACTATTCATTTGAAAAATTTGGCATGCCACTGACTTGTATTGAAAACTTCAGCCACCCATTTCAACATTTGAGAGGTTTAGTGCGTACGTTCATATGAATTGTTTTCTTAATATGGACCCAAAAAGTGTCCCCTTAAATATTGAAATTTAATTAAGAATCACCCTGTGTAATAAAATAAAGTCGGATCTTAACACCCACATTGCAAGTTGGTAGTATTACGTAAAGTAGTAGTTAACAGATTGATCTTATTTATAAAAACAGAAAAAGATGTGACAAAGATTAAAGAAAATATGTATGAATTTCTCCGAGCCTTTGATTTCTCTTCATTCTTAAAGCAATAAGAACTGTTTTACATAGTACAATGGTTTTTCCAACTTTGGTCCGACCTTCTGCACCTCTAGACTTATACACCTACCTTAGTTGAACTTCGCATGATACTTTTTTATTTTTCGTTCAGGAATTGTTATTACTGGGTTAATTCCTCAAGAAGTAGAATACCAATTATGTTTTTATTGAATGTGGTATAAACATTTTTAAACATTGAATTTCTACATGCAACACGATCCTAACATTAGATGTTTCTGAAGTATCTAGATATAGACCCAGTCTTTCCAATAAATATCTAAGGATGTTATTTTCTTTCTCTTTGATTTCCTGCATTATCATGGGCTTTATCAATATTTGACATAAAATGGTATTTGTAACTCTCAATACCCAATGCTGCCAAAGATTTCGAATTCTAAGTGAGCGATACGAAACTTCAAAATTATGAAACTATAATTGTTTTGTAATATCAAGTTGGCATATCAATTAGGTCAAGAATTTCATCCAAAATTGGAGAGTATTAAGTCCATAGTAAGCGGAAAAGACTGTATCTGTATTTAGGTACAAATTTATTAGATAAGTTGAGTCTCTTACATCTGTTTTCAGCTGTACAATGCTTGTAAAAATGACTGACGGTAACAAATTTATTCATAAATATAATATTCATCCAAATTGTGGCATTTGTAGTAGCGATTTCTAAAGCTAGACACAGTTTTGTTCAAAGCAAAACTGAGGACGACACCTATTTTTCAATAGCTTTTTTATTGTGTATAGTATGCACCTTATATGATTGCATTAGCTTAATTCAAGTATGAATTGAATTCTCATGCATTTCTTACATCGTTTTTTTATTATTTAGACTAAAATCATGTTAAAAACAAAAAAATGTTGAGAAATCTGGAAAACTATTGATTATAATGACCATTCTTATACAGGGTTATTGGTAATTCGCCATATTCCTTCCAGGCCGTGGTTCTCCTCCTGGGGAATGATCCCAAATTATGACAGTTATTGACATTTACCAAACAAATTTGTGAATTCATCCATTTTCGGCAAAATAATATACTCCTGGGTTCTTCATATCATTAAACGTTTCATCAAAAAGTTATCCTCGTCTTTACAAGATGAGACTGCGGTACGACGGCCAGATTTCCGCACTTTTAGTCCCTAGAATGACTATGTGAGCGACTGTTCCATTGGTGTTCAGCAATACAGCTCACAGAGGGGTATGAGAACTACGCCTACTATTCCCTCATTTCAAGACAGTTTTTTTTACTTCAACTACCACGAAGGCCTAAGGCCTAAACACCCATGGGGTACCGTGGTGCTATAGGGGGAAGAAACAGGGGTATGGGAGGACGCCACACGGACTCTGGCGAGGGAACACGTGTGCATGCAACATGCACACATTCTGGCCCCGCCTAGGAGATCCGCCGGGTGGTACCTCCGCGTTTAACATTCAGAGACCGTCTACCACCTACGGAAAATCACAACATCCATAGCCAAGAGAAAAATCCAGAGGAGGGCTGTCTGGCTGATCGATGACTCTTCTCTAACAGACAGTCTCGGGACCATTTCGCGGCACAAAACTCTCCTCCATGATTCCGGCAGACAGACTCGCCTCCCATCCTAACCGTGTCGAATTTCGTACATCCGGAACTGGCCGATACGATCACTACTTTGCCCCTAGGCTGTCGAGATTATGGAAAAATCTACAAGAGGAGGCTTTTCCCAGTTCTACTAACCTTTGGTTTTCGTAGTGCGTACTCAAATTTAGCGAATTCATTCACAAAAACTGCGAAAATATTCACAATAAATTAGTAAACTGGTTTTTGTTTTTAGTTCTTTAGAAAAAAGTTGTGTTTAGCTCTAAAGTTGCTAGTGCATCGAGCATATACATATAAATTACTAGAAAAACTTGCCCGTATTGTACACTTTCCAAAATGATATTAAACATCATAATGAGAGCGTTCAATTCCTAACAAATAGTCTTTCAAGCCAAAGTAGGTTAAATAATATTCTCTTGGATCTCTTTTATAAACTAAGTTAGAATAGGAGTGTCTATGAAACTGTTGATTTACATAAGTATTATGATTGTGTACAGGGTTTTTCAGAAAGTCGTGTCAACGTTTCTAGGGTAGAAAGTATATTCAAAAATAACAAAAAAAGTTCCTATAAATATCTGTACCCCAGAGCCAGACTAGGTTAAGTCCATTTTTGTCAAAAATGAATTCCATATGTTAAGCTTATGATAATATTGTGAATTTTCATTTGCTACTTGCAGCGTCTATCTATCTGTAATAATATGGAAGTTACGACTTTTTAACTCATTTCAAGTCTCATACAATTCAAGAAAAATATTTCAAATTCAATTATAGCAAAACTACTTATTAGAACTTAACCTAGTCTGGATATGGACTTAAAAATCCTCCCCCTACCGAGATACAGGCTGTGTTGCTTACGAAATTGAAATAAAATTATATCTACAGAGCGGGTAAAGATACGGACGATCAGTGAGCACATCATAAGCAATAAACACACAGTTTCCCGGCTCAAACTAAACCAGGCTCGTAGAAACTGGGGTATCTGGACTCTTAGTAGGAAATAGTATACATTTTGTCTCTCAGTGAATGTTTGTTAGATCTCTCGTTTTGGAGATATTTACGTTTGAATGTTTGATTTAAAATATTCTCGTGAAACGGTTTAACCTCCCTTATTCTGAAAATACCGTGAATTTTGATATTGGAAACACTATATGGCATGTAAAGAAAGCTCCGTAGATATATTTTTTTTTTCGTAAATAAAAATTCATGACCCTGTATCTTGGAGGGGAGCATCTTTGGACCCATTTTATAAGATCTTTTTTTGTTAATTTTGGATGTACTTTATACTCCAGAAATATTGGCACGTCCTTCTGAAACACCCTGTATATATGACATGCAGCTTAAACATGTCTACTTATATAAACACTATTAGGCATTGGTTACAAATCCTGTGTATTATTTAAGTTTAGAACTTTATTCATGATTGTACGCTTAATTCTTGCCCGAGTTGAAACACACCTTGCTCAAAATCCAACTTTATGCAGGAGAATCGAATAAAGGCATTATATTTCCGTGCAGGATTGAACCTAGTCGGTCGTTCGCGCGCAGATCTGACCGGGCACCCGTTCTCTGGCGGCGGCGGTGGCAGCAGCGCCTCAAGCGGAGGCGGCTACTCTGCGATGGAGTGCGACCCGTCTCCGACCGCCGCTGTGCGACCGCCGGTACAGCACCGACCGCCCCCGCCGGCCGCCACGCGGTACCACCACCAGCCGCCCCCGCCAGTGCTCAACCACCACGCCGTCGTCGGACCGCCCTCCCTGCAGCAGTACTACCAGGAGGTGCCTGCCACCAACGGCCCCCAGGCGTCTGTCACGCGGCCGCCCCCGGAGGATAACAGGGACAGCCCCATGGTGGGAGTTTGCGTGCAGCAGAGCCCCGTGCTGGCGATACACTGACAAGCAATCATCAGGAGGCAGGAGTGCGTAGGTCTCTTCGCAAATAGCATCCGAGTATATAATGGTAGACTGAGCAGTCAGCATTTTCAAGTCGCGTGTGTGTCCAGTTTGGGAAATTACGGAATTATTTAAATGTCTTGTTATAAGGCGGGACAGAACACATGGTTAATTTTCCCAAGTACCTCAGAAGCGTAGCTTCCAAGATACGCAATTTTATTCTTAGTTTTTACCTGTATACAGGGTGCTCGGATAGTTTGAAATGACAAGAGTCATCGCGATAGTATCTAGAGAGGCGCTACTAAAATCTCTTCCGGCTATACGAAACGGTGTCAAGAAGCAAAGCCAGTGAGGACACATATATATTAATTTTATAATTATAATTGGTTATGAAAATCTTAGTTCGGTCCTGCATATTGTCTTTACGATACGGGTACACTAACCGGTGAGCGCATCATCAGAGGACGAGACATTATATTTTTTTGCAATAGGAATAAAAATAATATACGAAAAAGAAACATTTCCAGAGATTTGCGGAACTTGAATACCGGTCCCTTTGGTAGCTTTGTACGATAAAAATCTTGCGCTGACCCCGTGATAGAAGACGTCCTGTCGTATCCTCTAGAGATTCTATATCCGTGGATGAAGAAATTAACATTAACATCTAAAAATCAACTTGCTCTTATAGTGGCCTTGTAAGGATCATGGTCAAGAGCAGCACCTCCCACCACTTTCCTACAAGGTGTTTGAATGAATACTTCTCTCAGTAAATCGATTTGAGAACCACAATAGGCATATTCACCTTTTTTTTAAAATCGGCCAAACTTAATCCCCCTATTTCTCAGATACTAATCATAGGGTTGTTCTGGACCCATGAGAACTTTAGTTCAGGAACGCGAGAAATATATTATACTGAATTTTAGGCAAATCATGGCTGGGAGCCATTTACCATATGGGCTACTTTCAAGTCCATAATACTACTAAATACCATTCGAAAGGGTCACAAATTTCTACGTTTTTAACGTTCGGAGTTGTCTAAGCCCTCCTCCACCTAGACATTCCTGCAAACAGGTTCTTTGTACGAAATACTCGGAATGGAATGGAAATTAGCCGAAAAACGATCCGTATACACTCGTGAAGCCTCAACAATGTCTCAAACTAACGTAATATCGACAAGTTCCTTATTACAAAGTAGTGTGGAATTTTCGGTTTTTCGATATTCACTCTGTAAACAAACAGCTAGGTTTGTCTACACGATGGGCTGAGCACCGAAGCGCCTATAGGATCCATTTCCCGACGCCTCAAAACGATAGTAGAGTAGTGCTTTCTAGTTATCTTTAATTAAAATAATAACTTTTACCGTTGATTTTAAATCGTTGATTCGTGGCATTACGTAGATTTTACTATTTATTACTATTTATTCATCGTAGCGTTTTAACATCCTTAAGATGCTTTCCACTTGGGTGATCTTTCCACTTTTAGAAATTGTTTTGCATGATCTTTTTAAGACGTTTTCGTAAAAATGCCTATTTTAAACATACCGATTCATTTCTGAAACTCGCCAGACTCGTCCAGACTTTCCTCGTAAAGTTGGTAGACGACAAGATGCTATCAGGACCACAGACACGCGAGGAGGTATGGAAAATCGTACTGTGCTCCTGCTCTAAGATAAGAACGAAATTCAAACCTATGGAACCGATACCTCTTGTCGTTCCTGCGATCCTGATACAGATCTCTAAGTTTCTGAAAATCGCACTGTCGTCCAGACTTTCCTTGTAAAATTGGAAGGCGAGCTTATGAGGGGGATCAAACATGTGGTTCTGCCTGTACTATGAAAGTCAATCTATAATTCCTGCAAATATTTGTGTATTCTGGAGATGCTGTTTGTTCGGACTACCCGTACGAAATCACAAAACGAACATAGATGGTCAAAAGTATGATGTTGTAGTCAGTCTGAAGTACAGTTGATTCTAGGTGACTATGGATGATCCACAGTCTTAGCCAAAGTTCAAACAACGTGACTCTAGCATGTTAAAGAAGTGACCAAAAACGTATTTGTCTAATAAAAAAATAGCCAGAAAAATTAGAAAACCCAGTACTATTTTAACTCGCCTGCATGGAACGTCAGTTTTCAACTGGCAAAGAAAACCCTGAGAAAAAAAGTTCAAAGCTGGACAACTTTTATTTGTATTGAAATTTGATGAGGTATGTCCATACTATTGATCATAAATTCAAATTTCAAGAATATTCCGAACCCTCTGTCAATCCACTTCGGTCTTACGGTTAACTGTACTCTGGATTTTGTCTACTACACATACTTCTTCGTGTAGCCCAGTCATATTTTTGGAAAGGGCTTAACAAAAGTATGTTGTAGTTTGAAGGTGGACATATTAAAGTGTGAATCCACATAGTTGATTTGAAGTCACTAACATTTTGGCTGCATTGAAAACTTAACATATATTACCTGGAGATTGAACTGTTGTTTGTGCATCTACAAACTAGAGCAAACGCATACCTTTTAAACATTATATTGCAAAGCAGAAAGAATGGTACAGCTGACATCGCTATTTGTATCTATCTGGCTAACACCCGAGTTTATACACACTCCAGGCCAATTTTTACGATGCTGGCCGTAATATGGCAGGCCTTCCTTCTCAATAATACCACTCAAATAATATGGAGCGTAATTTTGACATTTTAAATCGATATGAGTGTAAAATTAAATACAATCTTCGTTTCAAGCCCCTATGAGAAACTGATGGGAGCATTCTTAACATTCATGTTTGTGGTGTACATATCGCTGTTTCTCAAGAAAGTTCAAAAAAGCTTTTTTAACATTTTTTGAAGAACAATTTCGGATAACTGAAGAAAAAGTTAATAATTTGGATTTAGAAAAATTATCAATCAAATTGTTTATTGAACTTTTAGATTGATTGAATAAAAGATCAGTATGTTTTCAAAAACATCCCATTTTATTACTTTTTTGCAACTTTACAGGAATATGTCATTATTCCTAAAAAAATAATGCATTTCTAAAAAATATAATACAAATAATTCGTGGTTACAGAACAAAAAGGGAAAACATATTTTAGTATTACTACCTACGATACACATCTAGCAACATTTAACAGGCTACGTGGAACTAAAAAATCAAAGGTATGTTCAGAAAAAAAACAAGTGCAATACAAAACTTGGTTACAAATCATTGTAAAATCCCCCATAGTATGAGGGTTTTATATATTTTTTTTACTAAACTAAGTAAGGCGCTTGTCTTTTTCTCGGAAATGGGAATCTTACGTTTGTATGCTTTATTCAGATTAAATCTAGCACCTCTTTTTGTTGCTTCGTTTTTCTTAGATCTTTTTTAAGATTTTTTATCTACCTCAACTTTACGAAAATCAGTCACACTGTATGAGTTTTTGTAGAAAAATGTTCCAGAATGTTGATTTTCTACCCTTATTATTTTAACATCGGATAGTTTGAATGACTCATTTTCCGAATTTTTATGTTGTAGGAAGGTAGTCACAATGCACTTTATGTCACTATTCTTGTGTAACACGATCGGTTATTTGGGTACTTTGTTCTAATATGACGTTATTTTTGAGAAAAATGTAAGTATTCGCTTTGAAAGTGAAGCCGCAACTGCAATATCACATTATTCATGACAGAACCCTAAAACATTCGATATTAAGCAACAACGACACTAGCGTCATCTCTGGCGAACACTTTGAAACAATTGCAAATGTCTTTATTCCTGATAAAATAGTCAACATTTAGAGTGGATCTGCAGTTTTAACTAATTCTTCTCGTTTTTTTGGATAATGTCACTCTTGAGAAGCAGCGATGTGATCTGATTTGTTCTCTGATTTTCCTTGGATATTTTCCAGGACGAAATTTAGTCGCTTTTTTTTCAAATCATGCAGCATTGCATCTTAACTGTCTAGATTTTTTTAGGGGCGCAACTGTGTACATAATTTTAATTGTAGGTTTTTATACATTGTTGTCCACAGATGTAGAATTTTTGATGATACTGATTTTTTGCATTGGATAAGTGATGTTAGTAATGTGGATTATTGATAAGGAAAGGCTTGTTCCCTGAGCATGGTGGTGTTTTGGCGAAACGAGCGATCATTACTGTGATTCATTAATATTCTAACATACATCTGAACTACGGATTCGACCATGGCGTTAGGTCTAAGGAGACGATAGAAATACTGCAAAGCCTTGTTTTTATCATATGTAATTTTACAGATCATCATCTGAAATATCGTATTCGATTTCAAAAAAAAATATCCTGTTCTGAACGGGTATTATTTTATTTTAAAATGTCTGAAAAGAAGCGTTAAGATTTTCATAACTTATTATACATACAGTAGTGATAGTTATTGCTAAATAATTAGTTAACTTTGATTACTTTACAAATGTTTTATATGAAACAGCTACGTAATCAAGTGTTCTTATATAATACAGGGTGTAATGAAATATGTAAAGATATTATATGCCTAAGTCACTATTATGCATTGATTTATTCAGTACATGTATCCAGCTTATTCATTGTTGTAATGAAATACGATACTTGCTTGGCATTTTTTACATTAAATGATGCTACTTTTTGGACATTTCATGAAACTATTTGAAAGTAATTTGTTTATATTTTTTGAGAGAGCTACTTCATGTAATTTTGAGGTTTTAATCTCATTTTTTTTTCTAATTTTTAGTATGGCAGTATTTCATCGTCTACCTTAACTTAGTCTCTCGGGGTATGTGATACAGTTTGGTGGCGTAAAACTATTCAGACGGTTTTTGAGATTCATTTCATTATTGTAGTACAGATGGCGTGCAGTAATCGGATGTGGCAATTTTATTTGATTTTGTAGTCTAATCATATTAGCAAATTTCCCCGAAATAATTGTAAAGTCCGGCTTCAGTGATGCAAGTTGTTCAAGGACATGGACGCATAAAATGGGAGCATCAATTTTTGTGGGAAAACTTTGTATTCGACAACAAAGAATGAGAAAACGGGGGATTCAATCGAAAGTGTTGTCAGGAACCAAAAAAGTCTTCAAATGAGATTTTTAGACCTGCAGAATGAGACCACACGTAAAAAGGTCCGACTAATAGTGAAAAAGTTATGGCCGAAAACCGAGGCAAAATGCAGGTTATGGCTCTTGTTGCTAATGTGACGCTAATTTATCGCAGCTACTTGAAATTCTTCAAATCCGTAGGCTTCATACTTCTAAATAACCACAAAATTGGAGTCGATTGGTCAAGTAGTTTTTGAGAATGTCTAATTGTTTATCCCAAAATACCTGCCTTCCGGCCATCACTACTAGCTTACTTAGCAATATACAGGGTTCGTTCTAAGGGCATTTTATAGCAAAATACACGAGTTTACCATTCCGATATGAATCACAAACCATTCGGAAAGATAATTGTTATTTTTATGCGGAAAATGAAGGGAATCAACAAGTAGAAATTCTCAAAAACTACGTGACGAATTTGAAGAGTTTCAAGTATCTGCGTGAAACTATCGTCGCATTACCAAGTGCTAAAACCTGCATCTTGGCTCGGTTTTCGGCCATATTTTTCTTACTATTAGTCGGATCTTCTTACGTGTGTTCTCATTCTGTGGGTCTCACAAATACCCAAAAATCTTATTTGAAAAGTTTTTTCATTCCTGCCAACACTTTTGATTAAATCCCAAAAACAATTTTTCACATTCTTTGTTGTCGAATAAAAAGTTTTCCCATGAAAATTGGTGTACTTATTTTATGCGTTCATGATTGACATACCCCCTTGAGCAACTTGCATCAATAAAACTACACTTTCACAATATTTCGGAAACCAGTGGTATTTTCGTCTAATATGATTAGACTGGCTATGTGATAATGAAATGCATATGCCTAGGTATATTAGTGAAGAAATAATATAGTGATTAAGATTGTATATAAATTGGTTTCGTATAAGAAATGTTTTGACAGATCATGCATGAACCATATTTATTACTGAACACACTGTATGTATACAAATAAATGAATTATACTGATTAAACATTCTAGCCAATGTTTGGTACGTTAGAATCATCATATTGATTTAATATACTGTAAGAAAGCATGAATGATACTTCCAATAAATAATATACTAACGATTACACTACTTTTCTTTCTAGGTCGATGGGCCAAAGCTTTGGAATGTCGGCTATTTTCTTACCTTGTAATATTAACCCAGTACGAGTATATATAAATGCATCATGCCATAGTACTGACGCTCACCAGAAGTTAACAAAAACTAACTGTACCGTTGGTGTAACATTTTATTTTCGTGCTTTCGTGCTCTGTTTTTCTGGTCAAATGAAATCACTTAAATATGTAGAAATTACTGTAGCCGTTTTCAAAATGACAATCTTACTATTACATGAATCATCTCGGGTAGGCCTTCCCACTTCCAAAAGACGTCCAGCCCCCTCCATAGCGACAGTGAGCATAAGGTTATGGGTTGTTTTGGATGTACCAGACACGTCACCTTCTCTAATCACCCCAAAACGTCAAGGGACTTCTAGTCCGCGACTAAACTCACTAAGAACTGTCGCAGCACACCGCTTGACTGTCATGCAAGTTGCTATAGTTCACGACAAAACTTAGTGTCTGTTCACATTTTTTATCTACGGTTAAAAATCCAAAAGCGTCAGCCGACTTCGAGAATGCGAAAACTGTCGCAACACAACGTTTTACTGTTATGAAATCGACTATAGCTCACGACAAACTCACAGTGTTTGTTTACATTTTATTATCGACGGTCGTTAAAAAGCCATAAAACCGAGAAAGCGGCGTCTGTGTATATCTTCTGGACGCACCGACTAGCTTGGAGGTGAGTCGCGGGAAGAAGGTGGAGCTAGAGGCTTCGAATCGGTCAAGCTATAACACTGTCAAATTACGTGAAATTGTTGCTATGTCCGTATAGAAACTGCGATTTATTTTTGATCGCTACATTTTCATTTCATTTGTTTATTATTCAGGATAATTCAAAAAATTGTTTACAATCGTCATAACACAAGAAAAAATCTCATAGCATGAAAGCCACTTACATGGTACATCACACTTAAAAGTTTCGAAGAAACACAACACGTTAAAATCAGTATTTAAAAAAAACATCAATTTTGTGAAGAGCAGTTTGGAACGAAAAATTTTTTATACAAATCTTAAAATTATTTAAGGGCAGTGATCTTATATTTAGTGGCAATTTGTTGAAATACTTGATTGCCCAGAACCCCGGACCATCTTGACATCTTCTCAGTCGTCAATTTCAATTGTATGGAACTAACTATTAGTGCTTTTTACGTTAATGAATATTGCTCATATCTATAATTTATACAAATTTTATCATTATTTGGACCTGAATCTTATAATCAACATACTATACGCGTGTCCGTACCAGAAAGAAGCAAAAAAATGCAGTCACTATACGTTTGTCGTCAACCATACCAAAGCTGCATATGCATCGTGGTTCCAAAATGTACGTCGAAGTACTATTTGTTGCATGGATTGAAAATATATTGCCACCAAACTGTATCAGATTTCCTTTTAGAATCTGTGATATTGTGTTGGGTGTCCACTCAACCTGGAACAGATCTAAGACAAATGTCTGAAATATTGTGATTTGTGATTTTTAGACCAAACTGGCGACTGGTTTTCTAATGTAGGCAAATACGTGTTAAGTGTTGTTAATGTTGATTTATTAAAAGAATGGGAAGAACAGTTTTCATAAATATAAGGAAAAGTGACTACAACAGACTTTGAGCTGACCAGTGCTCTGTTGTGATATAGACATTTAGCATCCAGCGAACGTTTTCATTATCAAGAAATTTTATTACATAAAATAAGTTTAAAGTAATTTATGACTAGTGTTTAAATATATTGATTAATTATAGTAATCACAGAATGTATACATGTTTCCTATGATTTGCCGTTAACTGTATGTCAGTTGGCTCTGGTTTTATTAGCAAATTTTTTATTCCCAATTATGTAACAAAACTCAGTTTCAATGCACTCTAATTGGTGATGTGAAGCATTTTTAAGCATTAAATCGAACTATCAAATTCTGAAAGTTTTCTCTTTTTGTATTTTAGATACCCACTTACACATAGGCACTGCAGACTTGGCACCAATTTTAATTGTTGCTTTTTAATAAATATTCCATGCAAAATCTTTTATGAACATTTTATGATGACCTTTCTTTTAGTATCTAGACAGAAGAATCTAGATACTCCATTAGGTACTATCTAGATACATTCATCTTGATAAATTATAATATTGGACCTCTGTGTCTACTCAGTCATGGATCAGGTAAGATCAAAAAATATTACTTTTTATTACTGTTCATGATTCGAACAATTAGTGGTTTAGTGGTTGGAAAACCAAACGTTTCGAAAAAAGTAAAAAAATCATACAACAAAGTATGACGTACCATGTGAAAAGTAAAGTGTTTTCCCTGTTTATGTTCTGCATCGTTTCCATAGAGGATGCCCCATTTAACATAAATATTTTGTAAACTTTGACAGTGACCTTGACTGCGAGATTCAAGGTCAAGAGAATATTGTTAAATGGAGATCCCCTTTTTACACCAGAATTAGATATAGGAAAAAATGTTACGTCCTAACTATGACTATGATCATCCAAGGTCAAGTCAAGACTTGACAATTTGATCTAGCAAAACTTGTTGACAGCAGCGTTGGGAGCTGGTGACCCAAAGGTGTTCTTGACCATCACTTTCAGGACCATGTCAGAATTTTACACGTTAAAAATAAAATGTCTTGCACTCAATTTTGGCAAAAAATCAAGGGTTTGTCTTACAAATATTACTTTGATTGACGTTACCTTGATTTTGAGGTCAAGGTCACATTCGGAGGTAAAACTTCCTGCTTTTTCCAATTCCAGGATAAACGTATTAACTTGACCTTGACTGTCACACTTGAGTGATCCTTACGAACCTCACAACTGCGCAGTCGAACATTTTTGCTAGAGAAAGTTGTTTTCAATGTCTTGATTTGTCCTTGAAGTTCATATTCAAGGACATATTCGGGCGTAGAATTTTCTCCTCTTTCCAATTCCATTGTAAAAAGGAGGGTTATATATGAAAATATTCGCTAGACCTTGACATGACCTTGGAAGTCATGGTGAAGGTCATTCTTTGAAGTTTTTTCTAAGATGCGTAGTTTTGGAAATATTCAGGTGGGAAGATTAAAATGGGACACCCTGTATAAAACCCTAAATCCTGTCACAAGGTCAAGTGCATCAAGTCGAAAATGGGTGATGTTTCAAATATACTTAGTATGTAAGATTTAATTTTGCTCAATTTGAAAGTTATATGTGTTCATCTGTTCAACCAGTAGTTTTTGTTGATTTTACGATTTTTATTATTGAGGCTCAATTTATTTTTATAGTCCTGTGATATCCCCAGTGCTTCAATATA